TGAAAACAAACATTTGAAATGTATTTAGGAGGTTTTAGAGAATACACAAATCAAATCTGGATTTTGAGAAAAGTATATTTAATTTCAACATGAAAATCACTTTGCACAAGGGCTATTCAAACAAATACTCGATATATTTGTGGACAACTCTTTAGTAAAAATACTTAATTTAAGGAAACTGATTTTTTTGTGTACAAAATACTTGTAATGTGTACTAAAAGTCTACCACAATTTTGTGAAGATACACACACTGTATTAACTTTTCCGACATGGAGTCGATCAATTTGACCGAGTCACGTGACCTTCTGTACTCCTTTAAAGTTCACATAAATTTAATACTTATAACTCTATATATATATTGGGTATATCTTCACGAAATTTGGCATTCTTTCAGTTAATATTACAAGTCTTTTACATACAAAAAGTCATATTTCTCAGTGAAGTACTTTTAATAAAATAAAATAAAGTTTTGTCCATGAATATATTGAGTATTTCTTTTGAATAGTCCATATGCAAAGTAATTTTCATGTTAAAATTAAAAATACTTTTAGTCATCTCAGATTTCCTTTGTGTAATCCCTAAAACCTCCTAAATGCATTTCAAACGTTTTTTTTTCACTAAATCCTTATAGTTTATATGTTATTTTCTCTACCTTAATCTCAAAACAGGATTGGTCAATTCGACCAACCTTGTAACCACCAAAAAAAAAATTGAAATAAACATAAATTAATCTTCTTTTCTTTCTAGTATGACTTCAAACTGCAACATGAAACTACATTCATTTATCATAAATAGCTCTAAGTTCATAACATTATACATCTATTTATAATTACATTTTATTGTTTTATTGTCCTTTGAACCATGTCTAACTGCTGTCTGTGCCATTATAAGTTGTAAATCACTCAGGGAACGTGCAGCTCACGTTACGCTATCGAATTACATTACCCACGAGCTGCTTGCGTGCATGCTTTGTGAACATTTTTAGTTATATTATTATTATTATTACTTATTTTACCTATTCTAGTCTTAAATAACTTAGAAAGATCTGTACTTTTAATTTGAGTTAATTTGATAATAATAAATAAAGAGTAAATACGAAAAACAAGAAATAAAGTACTTACCCAGTCTTCTTTTTTCTTGCCCTCGATTGTCGATGAGAGTTAAGCCTGATTTTTTTTGTGATTATAATAAAGCATTTAACAATTTTTATTTAATTAAGTAATACACTAAAGAATATAGACTAATAACATCCAAAAAGTAGACAAATTCGCTTACTTCAAAAAATTTTCCTGGCTTTCTAACTATGCGACAGAAATCGTTGAAAATTCATCCAAGCTAGTCGTTAACTTTCCCACGGGAATGATGTTGCTACTCAGAGTGTCATTGATGGTTATCTGTTCAAAACACAATGTTATACAATACGCCATTTGATAGATGAAAACCTTGACTTTCTATTGGTTATAGGTAATGTATAATGAAACGTAAGAGAGAACTATCAACCAATTGTGAAAGAGAGAATGTGATAGGTGAGTGTGGCAGGATGGGTATGATTTTCTTTTTAGCTCTGTAACAAAACAAAATTGAAGGCCATAAAAATTATGGTCTGTTTTAGCTATAACGATTTTATAGAAAGCATTTTACATTTAATTTCAGACATTTTCGAGGGGTGATGGATACAATAAGAATGATGACATGCTAAGACAAAATTTGTCATGTGTGTTACACTAGTGGAAATTCAGGATTTTTTTATATATTTCCTTTTAGAATTAAGAACTTAAAAGTTAAGATTTGATGCTATTCTAATTGGTATAGCATAAACAAAAAGTAGTTTAATAAAATTTTTAATGTAAGACACTAAAACCTTGTGCCATGCGCAGTGAAGAGTACCCGTGCCGATAAGAGTTAAAAGTTCAAGTATTTAAAGTATATACAAGTAAAAATGGTCCTGTGGTCGGTCCCTAGGACCAAGCCTGTATTTAGAGAGTTAAACACCATGAAGCACTTGCATGAGAGAAAAAAAAATCTTCCCCAACCATTTTTTTAAATATAAAAAGTCAGATTTTCAGAGTAAGAAAGCTATGAAAGATTGACTGTAATGATAAGTACTGTTTTACATCATCACAAGCTGACATTATAAACTGATTTATATCATAACCACCTCCCATGAACCAAGTTGTTTAGAGTGTGATTATTTATGTCATAACCAACTGCCATGTACTGCATTGTTTAGAAACTACTTTATACCATAACTAACTCCCATAAACTGAATTGTTTAGAAACTACGTTATACCATAACTAACTCCCATAAACTGAATTGTTTAGAAACAGGTTTATGCCATAACTAACTCCCATGAACTGAATTGTTTAGAATCAGCTTTATGCCATAACTAACTTCCATGAACCAAGTTGTTTAGAAAGTGATTTATGTCATAACCAACTGCCATGTACTGCATTGCTTAGAAACTATGTTATACCATAACTAACTCCCATGAACTGAATTGTTTAGAAACAGCTTTATGCCACAACTAACTCCCATTGAACTGAATTGTTTAGAAACTACTTTATGCCACAGCTAACTACCATAAATTTTTTAGAAACTTTTTTACATCATAAACAACTGCTTTGAACTAAATTGTTTATAAAACACTATTTAGATTTATACAACTTAAACACATTCATAAGGATATGTCAATCAATAAGATCTTGAATACTTTTGTCATTGTATAGAAAATGATGTGTTTTTTATAAACGTATTCAGTTTTTATTTTTGGTCTTATTTTTCTTTGATATAACCATAACTCATCCAGCATTGAAAAACACACTGCTACACAAAAACAATTGTATATTTACTTGTCTCTAAATCATTGGTTTTATATGATACTACAACTTTACTGGTAATAAGTTAAAGGAAAATTAAAATTTTTTCTAAAAATCTTTATCTTTTGAATTGGTTGTTCTGAATAACAGCTGAAAAGATCCTAAGTTCTAATTTTACTTTTCTGTTCAATATTGGCAAAATTAAATTTTTTTTTTTTAGAACAGTTTGACACAAATCATGCATTCTAACTCCTTACCAGGGTTAACTAGTGATATAATTCTATTGATTACTAGTGTAAAAATAAATTAAATGTTAATTTCGTTTTTATCTAGTGTTGAAACTTGTGAGTTTTGTCTTTTAACAAGTGGTCAAAGTAATAGTTATTGGGTATGACTAAACCAATAATTTTTCAACATTCAAAGCTCTATGAATTACTTTTCAGCCAACAAGAGATAGCACTGGGGCAGCCATTGCTATTTTTACTGCAAATAAGCATTTCCCCATTGCCTCATCACATCAAGTAACTTTACAAGGACTTGTTTATCAGTTGGATGTTTCACTACACAGGTATGTGAAGTTAAGTGAATGATTTCTGTATAAATAATGTCAAAAAACGCGTAGGTTCAAAAAGTCTTAATATAGAATGATAAAACCCTGTAACTCAAGCTCTTTCAAAAGATGGACCTTTCTTCTTCAAGGGCAATCTGGGAATGGTGGTATAACTGAATGAGTGATATATAAAGGGAGTTGTGGGAAATGGGTATGGTTTTTTTGAATATTTTTCAAGGAACTTTTGTGTGTCTTATTTCTGGTGCAACATGATGGGAGATGAGAGTGTTATGTAAAAAAGGTGTTAGAGATGTTTTACTTTAGAAATGATCAAGAAAAACTAAATTTAAGTATTACTATATGTATACTGTTACAAGTTTAAAGCTACTTAAAATAAATGAATGTTTCATGTTACAATTTGAAGTGATTCTAGAAAGAAAAAAGGATAATTTAGATTAATTTCGATTTTTTTTTTTATGGTGGTTAGGAGGTCAGTCAAATTGGCCAACTTTGTATAGAGTTAGGGTATAGAAAATAACAGATAAAATGTAAAGTTTTACAGAAAACAAACAATTCAAATGTATTTAGGAGGTTTTAGAGATTACGCAAATGAAATTTGAGATTTTTCAGATGAAGAAAAGTATTTTTAATCTTAAAATAAAAATCACTTTGCACATGGACTAGTAAAAAAAAACTTAATATATTCATGGACAATTCTTTTTTTAGTTTATTAAAAATACTTCACTAAAAAATAAGATCAACTATTTATTGTTCATGGTGATGAACCAGAATAGATAACCCTTTTACTAAGGAGAAACAGTGGATTTTTCACAGGAAACAGTGCACCTGAAAATATTCATTTGTGCCCCAAACATGCTCAGAATTGCTCTGAGAGTAGTTTTCGTGGTAGTTGGGGAAAACTAAAACACTCCAAGATTGATCAATACTACCTAGAAGCTATTCTATCAAAAGTTAACAATCCAAAACTTGCTTGCAACATATTGATACAGAAACCTGATTTTGTTGCTGGTGTTGAGGGAAAGAATAAAGAGAAAATAACAGTAAATGAGAAAATAAAAGTGTAATATTTTTTTTCATTTGAAGTATTTCAATGCACAACAAAGGAAAATACAGTTTTCAGTTTGCATCAGCTTTTTTCTGTATAATTTATAATACATACATTTTTATAGATCAGTATAATGTGCATTACAAATTTTATTCTTTATACTATTTTGTATTTTGGCACTTTATGTTCTCATAGATGTTGATTTATATGCATCATTATCAAATTTTTCACATAATAACTATTTTATATGTCATGTTGCCACTGAATGCTGTACAGGAAAAATTTGCATATATATCATATGTATTGTTGTATATACATGACTTTCATTTTGTATTTTCTGTATATACAGTAAACCTCCAGTTTGTCATGTTAGCATAAAAGTGCCAAATTTTTTATCATTCTGTACAGGTCTACAGACTTGCACAATATTTGCTGTCACATATGCTTGGTGCCCAAACTTATACATAATGTTTTAGGATTACTGACATAAATTTTATACACTAAACAAATCACTTGTTTATATGTATGGGTAAGACATTGCTTATTATTTAGATAAGTGTATAATTGTATACAGCTTATACACTACATTTTACAGTAAAATATTAAATTATCTGAAGTTTTGAATACATATTTAAAAATGTTACACACATTAGAAAGTATGTATGAAGTATTTATATTTGTAACCATCTTATAAAAAATGATTTGTAGAATAGTAGATTTGTTGTGACACATTCTAAACTTGAGAAACAAGATGTGGAGAATTATTTGTTCTTGTGATGGGAAGAGTAATTCTAAAAAAGTTTGAGCATTTCTATATGTATGCATATTTATATTGTAATTTGAATGTATTTTGTAAGTAGACCAAATAAGTACAACAGTAAACTAGTTTGGACAAAGTTCCCATAGCAGGTTGGTTTTGTTTAACCCTGTCATTACTCATGATCTGTTTATATAGAAGAGAGGAAAAAACTGATCAAAAGGTCTTCTTGTGTAGTGCCATCTGACACATTTTATTTAAGCTGTAAGACAATAGCAATATATATATATATATATATTGGGTAAAATGAACAAATTATTTTACTGAATAAAGATTTACTTGAAATTATGCAGATTAGGTTTTTTCCAATCATTGCTGTATTTACCAAATATTTGAAATATCTCAGAAATAAACATTTTAATTTTCTAATAAATTCAATTAGAAATGTTCTCTTAAATTTAGCATTTTCATTTATTCCAAAATATGTATTGATTGTATCCACATTACCACCATTTAGGTATGTATTGATTTAAGAATTTAAAAAAAATTTGAATTTCATTTTTAAAATAATGAATAATTAGAGCTTCATTATAAAAAATACTAAGTATCTAGAAAACAATGAGAAGAGTCATTCAATCCTGTAGTAATCGTAGTTTGTCTTCATAAGTTTGATGTAGTATTACGGAGTGATTCGTTAAACATTGCAAAACAATCATTTCATTATTATTTCATTCTTATTAACTCTTCCATTACAGGTTGGGTGAAATCCACCCTGCTCATAACCACAAAAGAACTATGATTTTTGATGATGTATACATATCTTTACAAAATTTTGCAGGTTATGGGTAAACATTACAAGGCTTTTGGACACAAAATAGCATGTTTTTAAATTAAGTATTAAGATTTTTAATTAAAGATTTCTCATGAATTATTTTCTTTCAGGATGTTGACTATCCAACATGCAAAGTAATTTTGATTTTAAGATTAAAAATACTTTTATGTGTCAGAACATTTTCAAATTTCACATGCAAAATATTTTATTTTATCTGTTATTTTCAGTACCGTATCTCTGTATGGGTTGGTTCGATTTGACCGACTTTGTAAACTCCATGAAAATTAGTAAATAAACATATATTAAATTTTTTTCTTTCTAGAATGACAACAAATTATAACACAAAAAGACAAATGTTTAGTCTAAATAGCTTAAATTTCATAACAGTATACATTTTATTATTTTTATTATTAGGTCCTCAAGAAACTAATGTCATGTTTTGGAACACTTTCATTAACCACCCTCCATAAAACGTACATCACGTATAATAGTTAAATGAACCACCTAAATGTCACGTTAGTGTAGCATATATATAGTGTGTAAAGTTTAGTATACTCTAATTCCTTATAATGGTGGCACACGATGAGACACACATTCGGCATGTAATGTTGTTTGAATACAAGAAGGGAAACGATGCCTCTGTAGCCACAAAGAATATCAAAGAAGTTTATTGAAATGTTTTGAACATTGTAAGTGTCAATGCTAGTTCGGCAAATTTTGTTTAGGTGACTTTAGCCTTAAAAACTGTGATGGCATGGGTCAACATGTTGGAATTGATATTGATGTTCTGAAGATGCTTGTTGAGTCTGGCCCTGAAATTGCATGTCTCTCATGAAATAATACATAAACATCTAAGGAACATGGGAAAACTCTTTAAAGATGGTTTTTGAGTGTCTCATGAACTCTCCAATGATCATTATTTCCAACGTGTGAATGTTGCTTTCTCTCTTCTGGCTCGTAATGCGCTTGAACCATTTTTGGACAGATTTGTCACTGGTGATGAAAAATGGATTATATATGTGAATATTAAATGCCAAAAACAATGGCTCAGTCCTAGACAAAAACCACTTCCGACCCCAAAACCTGGACTCCGTCTGGAGAAAGTGATGTTTTGCATTTGGTGGGACATCAAAGGAGTAATTCATTTCAGTTTCTTCAATCCACAGTGAACTGTCAATGCAGAGATCTATAGTCAGCAACTGGAACATTTAAATCAAGCCCTTCATCAGAAACGGCCTTCACTTGTCAATCAGAAAGGTGTTTTTCTCCACAACAATGCATGTCCACATGTGGCATGTTTGATGCAGTACAAGATTATG